AGATAGGGAAGGCGCAACTTACTGTCGGACGCAGGCGGTACGCGACGATCAGCTGACTGCTACACGCGCGCATACACATGACATTTTAAGGACATGCGATTACATTCTCTCTTGCTCACACGCACACACAATTACCTTGTAAAGATTCGATGACTCCTAAAAAGATATGTAATGGTGTAACTTCGTGAAAAAGATAAAGTTTACATTTCGATGGACCACGTACAGCTCCAAATAAACGTTTATTTCAATAAAAGATATAGCGGGTTAAGGAGGTGATTTCGGACCCCGCGCGTAATCGATCGTCATAGTGGGCAAAATGTCCACCCAGATAAAAAAAAATGTTGTGCCAAGTTTCATTTCAAAAGACCCACACAATTTCAAAATATCACAAGAGATGTGATTTTTTTGATATTTTTTTCTCCGCCAAATTGGGATTAATCTTTACAAAAAAAGTTCATGATTACAAAGGCTATCCATTTACATAAGTTTGAATTTTGTTGTCATTCTGTGCTGAAAATTCTGTTTTTAAAAAAATCCAGAATATTTTAAATCGCATTTTCTCTAGATCTAATAAATTAGCCACCTTTAAAACAATTCAATAGATAAGTCTTATGCCATATTATATTCGATATTTTTTTCAGATTTTTTTATTTGGTGGAACGTGGCGAAAAAAAATAAAAACCGATTTTTTTCTTATTTTTCTTAAATGTATTTGGTTGACATATATTAAATTGTTTCTAAATATAATTACTTACCTCCGATCTTATATCTGCAAACAATAGTATAAAACTTTAATAGTATAGAGTTCGCGTAGTTTAAACTGCGAGGTTTCAATTTTTTTCAGTCGGAAAATCAATTTAACTGATTTTAGCAGTTATTCCACTTTTTTTTAAACAAAGATCAATTTCTAACTATATCATGCACGTAACAAACATAATAAACTTATTTTACACTTATTTTTAAGAGAGTTAAGGTTTTTTATCTACGAAGCTGTTTAATCCAAAATTCGTTTTATATTGATAAGTTTCTATTAATTCACTTCTTAAAAGTATGCAAATAAACAAATAAAAGTAAAAAAAATTTATGGCACACAGAATGTATTTATTTAATTGTTATTATAAAAATAGAAATGTCTATCCTATAATCAATCCTCATCACTGTCGGCATTTATTACAGGATCAATTTGTTCAACATTAAAAAGTTTGACTAATACTTCCGCTAGTCTTACAATACGAGATAAATATCTCGCATGTGCCAAGTAAAATATATAATTGTTGCAACATGTAAGCAACAGCCAACTGTTCTTAGTCCATTAGCACATTCACATGTGTAACGTAAAATACCAGCTTTCCCAATTGTATTCGGCGCGTATTCTATATAACATTTATAGGTTTTTTAGGTGATGTATCGCGATCTGATTTCAAATTTAACTATACGTTGATTTTTTCTTAAAAAATTAGCACTTATGTTTTCGTTATTGTCCATAATCTCTGCTAAGTGAGAAACTGCTTGCGATAACTAATAAGAGCCTGTGACTAAAACTTTTAGGTCGTTCTCCGTCATTTCCGGAAAATCTATTAACTCAGTTGAAAACAGTTTCTGAAAGGGCAATTTTCGCCGACACATTTTTGTTTCTGCTTCTGTTGCTAATGAATTGTCAACATTGCTTTTTGAAATCATTTGCTCCACAACTTCTTCATAAATGTCCGTATCTGAGTTTAAGCGCTTACCAAAAGTATTAATGAGAAAGCACGCTATTTTGCAATAAGAAGCAACACTATGGAGTATTTTGTTATCTAACTGATGATGAAGAAGCTTGAATTTTTGTCCTATTATCCCGTACACAGCTTCAATCACCGAATGCAATTTTGTAACTAAACGAGATTCGTTTGATTTCTTGTGTCGTCAATTGAGGACAGTTTCCTTTTAGCGCAGGCATAAGCACTCGATAATCTTCGTTTTTCAAAAATTTTTTCACGTCCCTGAAACCTCGGTCGAGTATAAAAATGTTGCCTTTTTTCAAAATGCTGCGCAACCCATTCAAATTAGATAAACTAATTTGTAATATCTGAGCGTCATTCTACGTGGTATGAAAAGGCCCGGCCACATCAATCACAAATCCATTCGTTGTGCAAATCGTGAACGTTGTGAATTCGTGGTTTGCATAAAGGCACCTTTTTCTGACCCGAATATGACTTCCTTTGATATTCGTTGTTTGAGCTTTTTTGATGTCGAATATACGAACCATCGCATTATTATAGCTAACTGATTCTGTACGTATTATAGCTAACTGATTCTGTACGTCATACAATTTATTAGCATAAACAGATGTTTGATTGTTAATGAGAAGTCGTCTCGGGAACAGGCTTGAACTCCAAAATGTAATGGCAATATATCTTTTTCAAAAGATTTGATCACAGATTAACAGAAATCTGACACTTGCTGCTCGTATTCAAGCTGGAGAATAGAAGTAATTAATTTGTTTGAATTGCCAGATCTAAATTTCAATAAAAAAACAACGAGAGCCTGAGTGACATTTCGGACATTTCCAGAATTCCTCATTGAAGTCATCATATCACGTAGTTGTATGATGTTTTCCCAAGTGAAGCCTGTGAATACTTTAATCCGTTCCTCAGAAAGTGAAAAATCGCCAATTTTATCATGAATACTAGAATCGCACCTGACAGACAATTGTTCTAGATATTTGCTCAATTCTGTTACTTCTACTTTACTATAATTTGAAACAACGTAAGTTATCGAGGTCTTCATCATAAAACCGTTTTTTAATCAAATGTTTTGGACAGCATCGATTGCGATTCGGAATGAATATGCGCTTTTTTATGAAAGTTTGCATACGAGCTTCAAATGGTACAAGTAAACGTTTCTGTCCTGATACCGATGAACATAAACAGCAATATTTCTCAGTTGCAACCACTCTTTTAAACGGCTTTTCGACAGTCTCGATTATCAACGCTGGCTTTTCTGGTTTACACACATATTTTGGATTTGACGTCATTGATGACTGAGAAGTTTGCTGTGATGATAATTTCAAAGATGCTTGTGACAATTGTTCTGACAAATCGTTCATTGCATAATCACTGATTTCTAATGTGTTTTTGTCTGACGTAAAATATAGGCGTGGACGGCAATTATTGCACAACGTATCACCTAATCTTACTAATTTATTTAGCAAGTTGGCTAAAGAGCTTGCTTCTAAATCTGAAATAATATGTTTTACTCTTCCACCTTTTTTCCGGAGATATTGATTACAGTTTGTACACTTTTTGTTAAAGTCCTTTTTTGACTCATCCTTGCTGTAAGTAAAGGATGTAAAAATAAGTGGAAGAATGTACATACATAAACTAATTATGAATAATGTAAATAAATGTAACAATAGATTTATTAAAGGCTTATTTATTTAGCTTTGAGTAATATAATATTTTATGATATTTTATCGTTAACTTTGTAACAGCAAATTCGTTAGTTCTCGAGAAGATAGTTTCACATTTCTTTAAAACTATTTTTTAATATTTTATAGTAGTCTTTTACAATAACAAAATACATTTAAATCTATAAAGGTAAAACTCAATAAAGAAAATAAATAGTGTTGTAATGAATTCACAAGTAGAATTTATTATTTTCATTATTTTAACTCGTTAATATTTGTGACTAATCCATTAGAGGTAAGAAACATTTTGATGACAATAAAAATCTATAACAGTTATACAATTGCATAACATAACAATTTAAACTATTGCAAGAAAATCTAAAATGTATCTACTAATTAATATCCGTTATCTACTTTACAATCACTGTCGATTAATTATCCGTCCACTGAAAAATCACACGAAGAAAGAAACACACGGCGATTTATTAACACACGACCCGTTCACTCGACTCGAAAAAGTTGAGTCCTTGGATTTTGGGGAGTCCCATTCCATTCTTCTTCTTCAATTAATTCCGTTTCTGGAATATCGAAAGAATTTTCAAAACCCAGGGACTCTTCTTCAATTTCAAATTG